TTGGATAGGGAGAGAACCGAAAACATAAGAAGTGCATGCAATATAGAAGACATAAATGGATGGGTGACAAAACGAAAACAGGAGTGGAATGAACATATCAGTAGAATGACAGAGGATAGAATAGTACGAATAGCATGAGATAAGTCACCAAATGGACGAAGAAGTATTGGCAGTCCAAGAAAAAGATGGTGCGACAATTTAAACAATTTAGGAGGCTAATATTGAAGAAGAAACAGGCTTTAAAGCCTATATACTAAAAGAAAGAAGTAGAATAAGAAGAAGACTTTGACATAACATAATATAATAAAAATGTACAATGAAACAATAATAGTATTAAGAACTTCATGGTACTCTTGATCTGATCAACACATTTATAAAAGAACAAGGAGAAGATCTATTAACGATGCCATTATAAGTAATATGACAATAATATTTAGCAGAAAAGTGAGGAAACCGCTTATAAGTAACAACTTATAAAACATAAAACATAAAATAATTTTCAATCGAAATGTAAATGAGCGGAACTAAAGTAGAAGAAAATAATTGAATGAACGTATTATCTAAATGGACCATAGTGCAAAAACGACGATGACGGAGACACGATATAAATCTCTGACATGAGGTAGGAGCATTGTACTTCTACTGAAAATATTGAGTGATAAGTGAGAACATAATAAGAAAAATAAAGAAAAGAGAAAATATGATAACGAAAAGTGAAGAAAGAAGAAAATAATCTGATTTAGTAATCAAGAAAGTAATTAAACTCCTATAAAAAAGTAGATATGTTTTTACATTTAAAATAAATTTCTCGTAAATGACCTTCAAGCCGAATTTTTCACACAAGCGGCAACAGTCACGTAAGAAAAGGTACGTGTCGGGAATCTGATTTCGTCAATTGTTATAGGTGATTTATTCTTTGTTTCTGACCAATGATCTCTGAAAACGTAGTCTTCTCAGAACCGACTCAATTACAATTTTAAATTTGCAATAAAAATAATTGCCAAAAATGTTGTGATTCTTTCATTATATCGGTACCACGTCAAACGATTCGACTTTGTATTCTCTAAGGGTATATACGATATGGGACCACAAAGCAGGAACATAGAACGACAATATCATTCACATATACAAAAAAGTAAAGTAAAAACAAAGAAAATAATTTAATGATGTAGCAATATTGCTACTTTGATCTATCATACAGTGTTAAAGAAACCATTTGAAACAAGCGATAGTCAATCAGGTAGGTTAATAGGAAAAGTAACAGTGGTTACAGTGGTGGAGATTCACATTCGATGCTGTGTTTACTTACGACAACTAATAGGAAAATCGATTGACTTTAAAATACTAATTTTACTAATTTTCCTTTACTGCATAAATCTTAGAAGAATATTAAACATATATGGATTAAAATATAAACTAGCAAATAATAGAAATAAACGAGAATACAATTCAATAGGGAGAGGGAGATTGATTCATATAAAACAGGGATCACTCGCGCCTGTCCTAATGCTCTAGAC